TGGGGGTGGGGGGGGGGTGTTATGTGTGGAGACCCTTGAATTTTACACTGGGACAGTGTTCTTTTTCTGTTTACTTTGTTACTTATTTTGTTTCAAAATTTCTGCCTGCAATACCAATATTAATGTAAAAAAAATTAGTATCATATTGCAGCCAAATAATTCTTAAGCACTTTGAGGATGCCTTGTTTGGAAAAACTTTACGCAGAAAGCATTTAGATTGCATGAAATGACATTAGAGGCATGAACTGCCGGGGGGGGTGGGGTGCTGCTGGAAGTTCACCCCTCATCAGCGAGGGAATGGTCAGCACACATGCCCCCCCCAGATCTGCTTTATTCTCGGGCAGCCGGGTTCCAGTCAGAGACAGGGCATCTAGCACAGTTACTTCCCCAAGAGGCTGCGCACCGTCACTGGGCGGGGTCCTCTGGAGGTGGGAGGGCAGAGGGGCGGGGTCATGTGTGAATGTTAATGAGGTGCCGGCCAATCAGGAGCGACAAATTCTGATTTCGAGCCCAATGAGGCGGGGCCTACAGCGCTGCAGGGGTTGCATGTTTTTTTTTCTTAAACCAGAAAAAGGGAAATAAATGCCATATCAGATCAGAGATTACAACATTTGTTAAGAAGACGTGGCCTCCAGGTGGCCTTCATAACCTTAGCTTAGCTGGAGTGGGAGCTGGTCCCGCTTCCACCGCCCGGGTTTGACCTCTGGACCTTTATCTGTAATGTAACAAAATCCTTATCTTAATGTAAAAAATTATTAAACAGCAATTAAAAAGCAAAGCTGACTTATGATGCCCATAATCCTGGATACTGGAGTTTGCTTGAAGTTGAGGGTCATAATGCGATATTTTAAGCCCTTCTCCAAGTTTCAGTAGTGCCAATGGGTGAAATTATATGCCGTTCTGGATAAAAATGGCCTAATCAACGGCGAACAATGATAAATTAATAATAGAAATGTTATGACTCTCCCAGTTACCTTAACCAATGCACCCTCTGCAGGAAGCACTACAGGAAGGTCCTGTCCAGCATCGTCACCATCCAGAAGAACTACCGTGCGCACTTCTGGCAGCGCGTCTTCCTGCGGCTGCGTTGGGCTGCGCTCGTCTTCCAGAAGCACCGGCGAGGGCAGCTGGCCCGGGGGCTGTGCCGTCGCCTGCGCCAGGAAAAGGAGGAGGCGGAGAGGAGGAGGCGCGCAGAGGCGGAGAAGCTGCAGCAGGAGGAGCAGGCCCTGAAAAGGGCGCAGGAGGCCAGCCAGGGGCTGCAGAGTGCTGGAGACAGCGGGTGGGCTGGAGGCTTCGCTGAATACTGCATGTCTGCATTGTCTTATTCCCCACGTGACGGGTAGCATTAAACCCCATGGAGAACCTCTCCGAGCTGGAAGTTTGTGAGAAGTCGCGATTAACTTTGTTTTGATTAACGTGGCTGTGAGTTTAACTTTCACTTCAGTTTAACCTTCGCCATCAACTGAAAAATTGATTCCACCTGGTCAATCCCGCTGTTCTGGGTCTTGTAACGGCCATCCTATTCCGCTCCCGGCTGGCGGTCCACCCTCCCACTCCAAGTTTTTCCACAGCCTTGCGATTTTCCTTCAGAGAGTCTGTGACACCTTTCCGCTCGCGTCCCGTCTTCTGAAAGTGTTTTTTTTTTTTTTTTTCCCTCTCAGGACTGAAGCGGACAAAGGCCCCCTCTGTCCCCAGGTAACGTCACTGTGCCTTTTCATGTTTAGTCAGCTGAATTATCACACCGAGCTGGCTGGCCTCACCAGTCACCTGCCCACACGCCCCTGACAGACTGCTGTGGATGGGTTAGGATACACTGTGATTCTAACCAGTTTGATCTGGGTTTCCTCCCCTTCCCACACCCGCAGGTGGAGGTGCGCTCATTCTATAGCCGGATCCCCTCCGGCACCTCTGACGAGGAGCGCCGCCAGATGGAGGAGATCCTCGACCTGGAGCGAGAGATCGCGCGGCTGCAGAGGCAGCGGGAGGACGGCATGTCGCAGCTGTGCGCCACCTCCCGGGCCGAGCTGGAACAGCGACGGGACGCAGAGCTGCGCCGGCTGCGCAGGGAGGCCTCACGGGCTGCCACCCAGTTCCTAGAGATGCTGGACTTCGGAAGCCTGGGTCTGGCCGCCTGCAGTGAGGAGGACCACACATCTGGTCCGATCCCTGGAGCAAAGACGGACGAGGCTCCCAATGCCGGGGATGTGCGTGTCTCTCTTCCCGATTTACCGGCCCCCATCGACGGCCTCGTGGATCAGGACATGTTGTTCAACTTGCCCCCTCCCCCACCCGACTTTGCAGAGGGACTCGTACCCGTTCCTCCTGCTGCCCCCTCGGAACTCCCAGACATTGCCCCCGGCCCTGCAGGTGCCTCGGACTTCCCGCCTCCTCCAGCCCCGCCCTTGCCTCCCCCAGCCCCGCCCTTGCCTCCCCCAGTGTCCAGTGAGTCCACCAAGGAGGAAGACGACGGGGGTGACTACGAGACCATCGACCAGGCCTCAACAGAGGAACCGATCTACCACAACCCGCCAGACGCGGAGTCCGACTATGACCACGATGAGTTTGAGGAGGCCCAGGGCAGCTCCGGGGATGCTGGCAGCACCAACGACGGTCACCTGACGGACGAGGAAGTGCTTCGCAAGTCCACCTGCACCAACCACAGCCAGGACTCCTATCGCGGCAGCTCGGACTCTGTGAGTTCAACCGCTGTTTGATTAGCAGCCAGTAATGCGGGTTGTGCATTTTGAGCAAAGCATGACTACCTGGTGAGATTTCACTGTAACGTGAGAGACCGTGTGCCCGAGTGACCCGGGTGACAGGCGTCTCCACTGTAATCCTCCTGCCTCAAGCTGCCAGTTATTCTTTCTGTTCACCTCACTGCCTGACACACTGGTTTGGTCTGGCATACCCTTTCTCCTCCCCCCCCCCAAAAAAACCCCAATATGTTATAACTTTGGGCATGTCCAGAACACTCAGTCTTCTAGAAGCAGGAACCACTGTCGTTGTTAATGCCATCATCTGTGGCCGCTGGGTCTGTCGGCACGTCGGCCCGTCAGAATGGTGCCAGTATGTAGGCAGTGAGAGTGTGGGGGAGTCTTCTGGGTCTCTGTCTGTCACTCTGTGACAGGGATTAGGAGAAAAATTGTTGATTTAGCACAAAATGATAGATGCTGAGACAATGGTACGCCCCCCCATTCTATCTCCACCCACTTAAAACCCCCCCCAACGAAAGAATCCGGTTCACTCACCGCCCCTCTCAGAGAATGTGTGCCCCTTCCCGAATGCCTGGAATGCCTGTTGCTGCGAGGGGCACAGAGGCAGCCAAGGTGGGTGGGTCAGGCTGTTACTGACATTCTGGGCGCAGTGCAGGGAGGCCTGCAGTGCAGGGAGGCCTGCAGTGCAGGGAGGCCTGCAGTGCAGGGAGGCCTGCAGTGCAGGGAGTGCAGACACAGCCAAAGCAGACTACTGCCCCTCATCCCTGACCACAGAGTGACCAGGGGCCAGCTGGGCTGTATAGTATAGGGGGGAGGTGGGCTGTGTAGTATATGGGCCGGCTGGGCTGTGTAGTATAGGGGCAGGCTGGGCTGTGTAGTATATGGGCCGGCTGGGCTGTGTAGTATAGGGGCAGGCTGGGCTGTGTAGTATATGGGCCG